ACTCGAGGCGTGTGTCATCAGAGGCTTGGCTCCGCCGCCGGGTCACATGGGGCTGAATTTCGGGAGCAGGCGGCGGCAGAGTGGGACGCGGAGGTCAGGGCCGGAGCAGGCGACGCGCCGGGCAGGATGGGGCCGGGCAGCGCCGTCGCGGCCCTGCCGCGGAGCTGCGAGCATCCTCCGTCACCGGCAGCAGGGAGAGGTTCGCCGTGCCGACAAATAACAGTGATTTAAAAAACAAGAAGGGAGGACTTATTTTAAGCATAAACTGGGATAAGGAGGAAAGTAATTTCAGCAAAAAAACCCCCCAAAATCTCCGGAAGAGGTTACCCTGGAGAGAGGCTCGATCGCGCGCCCCTGCAGTTTCGGAGCGCTCCGAAACGCGGCAGGTCTCCGTGTTAAAGCCTGCTCCAAACTTCACAGCTTCAACCTCTCTCCGGTTTTCTCGGGCGTAAACGACGTTTGGACGCTCTGCTGCCAAACAGGGAAAAACCGAAAATCCACCCCAGAAACCAGCTAGCCTCTCGCAGTCTTACACCCTCTGCCAAAACACTTCTGAGACGGGTACATCCAGCCCAAAAACTGTACAGGGAAGATTTTACGGGGCTTGACAAGTTTGCTCTTGAGTTCAGCTCTTGCCCGAAACGTGGCTTTGGAAAGAAACCGAGAGCAAAACGAAAACTGAACGGCTTCCCTATGCAGAGCGCAGAATAATTAAGGAGGGCGCATGAGGCCGAGGCCTTTTGCATGAGAACGAGCAGCCCCTGCGCCCCTTCCCCGCTGCGCCACGTACGAAGCAATCCCGCGGCAGGTGGGTCCCCCAGCGCCACCACGGGCGGGAAGGTCTCCTTTCCCCTCCGCTCCCGCAAGCCGGGTGCCGTTCCCCGTGCCGAGGGCCGGCGGAGAGGCTGATTCGACGCGACTGTCGTCGGTGTTAGGGGCTCTCTTCGTCCTCGGGAGCAGCTCCGCGGGATGGGACCGGTTTTGCAGATGCATAAGCTGAGGAATTAACTCTCTTTTTCTCACCTGGATGGTTGCACTGCGTTTGAATGAGGTTATTCATGCGCTTAGGCTTTTGCACCGTCGAACCCTTAGGGTGTCTAGGGCCCGTGCTGGTGGGATCTCCATGAGATTCGCGAGACATCTTCAGAGCAGCATCCAGCCACGCTGCGGGGCTGGTACTTGATCTGTGACCTGTTACCATCGTTCCTCACCCTTCTCCTCCAGCCAGGTCAAATGTTATCCAGACCTGAACCTGAAACTCTGGCGGCTTGTCCTCCTTGCTTGGAGCAATCTTGCAAATCTTAATGGCGCGGCAGAGCCGCTGGGCTGTGCGGGACTCCCCTAAGCGCACAGGGGGCAAAAGCCAAGCTGGCCTTTGGGGAGGCCGAGTTGCGTCGCGGTCCCAGCCTGCCCTCCGTCCGCCCTCGTGCTTGGTGCCTGCAGCGCTTCCAGCTGATGGCGAAAGCTGGGTAACTTGCTGGTTTTTCCTCAGCCGTTCGTCGGGTGGACCTTGCCCAGCAGTGGCATTGCGGATGCGGAGCGTGATACCAGGCGCTTCTCCGGCGCCTGGCAGCTGATGCTGGGGGAGGAAATAACCCCACCGAGCCTCTGGAGACACCCTGGAGCAGCCCAGGGCTATAAGGCTTCAGAAAAGAGCCATTCTCCCCATTTTCATTCAAATCAGAAATTGCACCAAACCGGTTGCACCTGTTTCAGCTGCAGTGCCCCTTCTCCTGCAGGGCTTGTGTCACTCCGGGAGGGGACAGCGGTCTCCTCCAGGCGCCCTGAGCTCAGCTGCTTCCAGATTCCAGCAGGGCTTGCGGCGGCCGGGAAGAGCTTAACGCGAGGCCGTACCCTCTGCGCAACTTGTGTCAGCTCCAAACACGAGCAGCTTGAATTTGTTCCTCCTGCTCTTTTCCCTTCAGTTCAGATTTCCTCGGGGAAACGCTATTAATAGCTGGAATGCTTCCACCGTAACTAATCCAGTCACTTTATTTCTTCGAAGTTGGCAATGATCTGAAAAGGTTGAACGGCCAAGAAGGTTGTTTGTCTTGAAAGAGAGTCATGCTTCGTAGCTGCAGACTCATGCCCAGGTCTTCGTTGCAATTAGACGTGCTCCCGCTTACAGCGGGGCACTCGGGATTACAAAAGCTTTGGGGGGGGGGGGTCCGTTTCATCACAGCCTACCGAGGGGCACGCGGTAACCAGGCGGCTGGGTTAATTCCCAGAGAGTTTGGGGCGCTGATCCGATGCGTCGGCCTGTGCTGGTCCGGGAATGTTTGAGATGACGTTGGCCTGGGAGGGGGCTCGCGCTGGAGGAGCGCGGCGGTCACGCTGACCTGCCTTAGCTGGGAAGTGGGACGGTGTCCGCAGGAGGAGATGATCCAGGTTTTAAAGGGCTTTGGTGGAATTAGGAGAAGGTCACCCTGTTTCTCCTGCTGCTGCTTCTTCCTGGCGCGGGGGAAGCAGGAGGACATCGGGATCGGGGGGCGGCAGGGCACATGTGCGGGGTCTTCGCTGCCCCCAGCCTCGGGCAGGGGCACAGGAGCAAACAGCAAAGGCTCCTTGCGCACACGGACTTTGAAAGCGCTTCTCCGGGGTGAGAGAGAAGAGGGGAAGATGTTTGGCTAGCGGTATCTTGCGAGCGCAGGAGGGAGAGAAGGCAATCGTGTGAAGGCAGGGGTGGAGGACGCGCGGTTCACGTAACCGTAGCCCTGTCCCCTTGCCCCAAGCGCTGTTGGTGCCGCAAGCACTGTGGCAGCGAGATAAGAAACCTTGCTGGGACTTTTTGCTCTGGGAAAGCACCTCTATTCACGGTCGTTTTATGAGGACCCGCAAGCCCCCTTAGGTCTGTGAAGGAGGAGAGTCAAGGTGGATCTCCAAGGGGTGGGAGATGGGACCCTCTGAGCCTGGACCCCGGGTGAGCTGCGGGACGGTCCAGCTGGAGAGGAGGGCGAGGGCGGAGGCGAGCCGGCACGACGCACACGCTCCCCGGGGTTGAACCCTTCACCGGGGTACGTGGGTGGTAATTTCCAGCGAGCGAAAGCAAACAGTACAGCGAGGAGGCCAATGTTTGACTTCCTGCTTCTCCGCAGGATAAGGAGGGCCTGGAAACAAGTCACGCGTAGCTTACGTGGGGCGACTTTCTGACTTCCTTATGGGCTGCTCCTGGGTCACGGCAGCCTTGACTCACCTCCTTTCCCCTCCGGTTTAATCAGGAGGGGAGCTCTTTTCGGGAGGTAGGTCGCATCCCGACCACCGGCAGAAATTAGCCAGAGGAGAAGGTCGGGAGAAGGTTTTCCCCGTCACCCAGGCAAGGACGCTGGTCCTCCTGTCTCAGCTAAGACATGGTCTCCTCGTGCAGCCCGAGGCCGAGCCAAGCTGCGTTTCCATCCTCGGACCTCACTGTAGCAAGTGAAGCGACTTTAGCGGGGGGGATTTAGCTGCAGCAGAGCTGGGAGGAAGACCACGGCCAAAAGCATCCCGGAGTCCGAAAACCGGACGGACGAAATCGCGGCGGGCCTTAAGACGAGGCCGGCCGCGTTCAGCGCGGGGCCCGTAAGGCCGCGTCCGTGAGCGAGGTCACTCCTCAGCCAGACGGCTTATTACCAGTCCGCAAAATGCCCATTTCCGACTTTAGGGTAGCGC